TCCACATACAGATGGCCTACAAAAACATATTTTTCAATGCATCCACGTTCAGCTGGTCAATGAAAAATATTTTTTTAATAAATCCACGGCCAATTGGTCCATGAAAATACATTTTGTTAATAAATTCACATACTGATGGCCTACAAAAAATATTTTCCAATACATCCACGTTCAGCTGGTCCTTGAAAAAGTATTTTCAATAAATCTACGTCCAGGTGGTCCATGAAAAAATATTTTTTTTAATAAATTCACATAAAGATGGCCTATAAACACATATTTTTAAAAAAATCCACGTCCAGGTGGTCCATGAAAAAAAGATTTTTTTAATAAATCCAAATCCTGGTGGTCTATGAAAAATTATTTTTTAATAGATTCACATATAGATGGCCTACAAAAATATTTTTTTAATAAATCAACATTTAGATGGCCTACAAAAAATATTTTTTTAATAAAACCTCGTCCAGGTGGTTTATGAAAAAATATTTTTAATACACATACAGATGGTCTACAAAAACATATTTTTCAATAAATCCACGTCCAAGTTGTTCATGAAAAATTATTGCTTTTATTAATTCACATATAGATGGCCTACAATTTTTTTTAAATCAATCCACGTCCAGGTTGTCCATGAAAAAATATATTTAAAAAAAAAAACTACATTTAGATGGTCTACAAAAAATATTTTTCAACAAATCCACGTCGGTGTTCCATGAAAAGAATATTTTTTAATAAATCCCTTTTTTAGTTGGTTCGTTGAAAATATTTTTCAATAAATCCACGTCCAGGTGGTCCATGAAAAAAAAAATAATAAATACACATACAGATGGCCTATAAAAATATATAAAAGAAATCCAAGTCCAGGTGGCCTATGAAAAAATATTTTTCAATAAATCCACAGTCAAATGGCCTACAAAAAATATTTTTCAATACATCCACCTTCAGATGGACCATGAAAAATATTTTCAATATATTCACATCTAGGTGGTCCATGAAAAAAAAATTTTTTTTAATAAATCTACATTCAGATGAGCCTACAAGAAATATCTTTCAATACATCCACGTCCAGTTGGTCCATGAAAAAATATTTTTCAATAAATCCACGTCCAAGTGGTCCATGGAAAAATATTTTTCAAAAAATCCACGTTCAGGTGGTTCATAAAAAAAAAATATTTTTCTATAAATCCACGTCCAGGTGGTTCATAAAAAAAAATATTTTCAATAAATCCACATACAGATGGCCTACAAAAACATATTTTTCAATAAATCCACCTTCAGCTGGTCCATGAAAAATATTTTCAATATATTCACATCTAGGTGGTCCAAGAAAAAAATATTTTTTTTTAATAAATCTACATTCAGATGGCCTACAAGAAATATCTTTCAATACATCCACGTCCAGATGGTCCATGAAAAAATATTTTTCAATAAATCCACGTCCAGGTGGTCCATGGAAAAATATTTTTCAAAAAATCCACGTTCAGGTGGTTCATAAAAAAAAAATATTTTTCTATAAATCCACGTCCAGGTGGTTCATAAAAAAAAAATATTTTCAATAAATCCACATACAGATAGCCTACAAAAACATATTTTTCAATACATCCACCTTCAGCTGGTCCATGAAAAATATTTTCAATATATTTACATCTAGGTGGTCCATGAAAAAAATATTTTTTTTTTAATAAATCTACATTCAGATGGCCTACAAGAAATATCTTTCAATACATCCAAGTCCAGGTGGTCCATGAAAAAATATTTTTCAATAAATCCACGCCCAGGTGGCCCATGAAAAAATATTATTCAAAAAATCCACGTTCAGGTGGTTCATAAAAAAAAATATTTTCCTATAAATCCACGTCCAGGTGGTTCATTAAAAAATATTTTCAATAAATCCACATACAGATGGCCTACAAAAACATATTTTTCAATAATTTCACGTCCATAAAAAAAATAAATAAAAAAATCCAATAAATAGGTCCATGAAAAAAAGGTCCATGAAAACCTACAAAAACATATTTCTCATAAATCCACGTCCAGGTGGTCCATTAAAAAAAATATGTTTTTTTTTTTAATAAATCCCCGTTCAGCTGGTCCATAAAATAATATTTTTTTTAGTTAATGTACCAATGTGCCAACAAAAAACATAAAAAAAATCCATTTAAATATTAATTTAAAAAATCCACGGCAAGTTGATTCATGAAAAAATATTTTTTCAATAAATGCACAAACAGATGGCCTACAAATTATTTTTTAAAAAATCCACGTCCAAGTGGTCCATGGAAAAATATTTTTTTAATAAATTCACATACATATGGCCTACAAAAACATATATTTCAATAAATTCTGGTCAAAGTGGTCCTTCAAAGATTATTCTTTAAAATATCAACATCCAGGTGGTTTTGTGGATTCGTTAAAAATAATATTTTTTCAATAAATCCTCGTCCAGGTGATCCATGAAAAAATATTTTTTCAATAAAGCCACGTCCAGGACCTCTATGAAAAAATATTTTTTAATAAATCCGTGGCCAGCTGGTTCATGAAGAAAATGTGTTTTTAATAAATTCCCATTCAGTTGGCTTTCATTCCAAGTGGATCATGAAAAAAATATATTTTTTAATAAATCTTTTAATAAATTCAGGTCAAAGTGGTCCTTCAAAAAATATTCTTTAAAATATCAACATCAATGTGGTCTATCAAAAAATTTATTTTGTAATAATTCCATGTTAGTGGATTCGTTAAAAAATAGTATTTTTGATAAATCCACGGCCAGCTGTTTCATTGAAAATATTTTTTTTTTTTTTATAAATGCACATACAGATGGCCCAAAAAACATTTTAAAAAAATCCAAGTCCAGGTCTCCAATGAAAAAATATCTTTTTAATAAATCCATATTTAGATGACCTACAAAAAATATTTTTCAGTAAATACAGGTCAAAGTGGTCCTTGAAAAATATTCTTTAAGTGGTCCAGTGAAAAAATATGACTTCGTTAAAAAATTATGAATTCTTTGAAAATAATATTTTTAAAAAATTCGCGTTTGTGGATTTTTTTAAAAAATTAATAAAAAAATGTAGATTCATAGAAAAATTAATTTTAAAATATTCCAAGTCTGTGGATTCATTTGAAAAATAATTTAAAAAAAAAAACATCAATGTTTGTGGATTCACAAAAAATTATTTTTTTTTAAAAATCAACGTTTGTGGATTCATAAAAAATTAATTTTAAAATAGTCCAAGTCTGTGGATTCATTTGAAAAATAAATTTGAAAAATCAACGTTTGTGGATTTGTAAAATATTAATTTTAAAATAAATGAAGTTGTAGATTTATTTGAAAAATAATTAAAAAAAAAATTCACGTTCGTGGATTCATTTGAAAAATAAATTTGAAAAATCAACGTTTGTGGATTTGTAAAATATTAATTTTAAAATAAATGAAGTTGTAGATTTATTTGAAAAATAATTAAAAAAAAAATTCACGTTCGTGGATTCATTTGAAAAATAATTTTTTAAAAAATCCACGTTTGTTTATTCTTGGAAAAATATTTTTTTAAAAAATCCACGTTTGTTTATTCTTGGAAAAATATTTTTTTAAAAAATCCACGTTTGTTTATTCTTGGAAAAATATTTTTTTAAAAAATCCACGTTTGTTTATTCTTGGAAAAATATTTTTTAAAAAATCCACGTTTGTTTATTCTTGGAAAAATATTTTTTTAAAAAATCCACGTTTGTTTATTGTTGGAAAAATATTTTTTTAAAAAATCCACGTTTGTTTATTCTTGGAAAAATATTTTTTTAAAAAATCCACGTTTGTTTATTCTTGGAAAAATATTTTTTTAAAAAATCCACGTTTGTTTATTCTTGGAAAAATATTTTTTAATAATCCACGTTAGTGGGTTCATTTGAAAAATATGTTTTTAAAAATTCACGTTTGTATACTTTTCGAAAAAATATTTTTTAAAAATCCACGTTTGCTTATTCTTCGACAAAATATTTTTTTAAAAAAATTCTCGTTTGTTTATTTTTTGAAATATTATTATTTTAATCCATTAATTAATTTAATCCAAGTTTATTTATTTAAAAAAAAAAAACGTTTTTTAAAATCTAAGTTTACTTATTCTCCAATTTTTTTTAATCTAAGTTTATTTATTATTTGAAACAATATTTAAAAAACACACGTTTGTTTATTCTCTGAAAAAAAAAAAATTAAAAAAAATTTTAAACTTACAATTTTTTAAAAAGTTAAAAATTATTTTTTAGTGGAATTCTCGCCATGAATGTACGTTGAAAAAAAATTTCTTTTTTCAAATCAACAAAATGAAATGGCCTGAAAAAAATTAGTAAAATCTACGACATGAACTGACCTGAAAAATAATATAGGTCGGTCCAAAAACTTCTTTTTAATTCTTGACATGGGTAGGCCTTGAACAAGATGGCCCATCGAAGTTTTCTTAATTCTTGATATATGTAGGCATCGTATTTTAAAAACTCCACAGCATAGATAGGCCTCCTAAAAAATATTTTTCAAAAATATCCTTGACTTTGAAAGACCATAAAAATTATTTTTGTATAATCCACGATTGTTTACAAACTTTCAAAAATACATTGAAAAAAAATCCAGGAAAAATATATTTTAAAACCCTAGAAAAAATCCAGAATCCTCCAAATTTTATGGGGATCCGGATTATCACGAAAATTGTTTACCCAGAAAAAGGCTGAAATATTATCTTTGAAGTATCAAAAGTTCAATGAACTTTAAAAATATATCCCAAAAAATCCAGGCTCCTGTGAACCCCAAAATATATTTCAAACGAAACAAGAGTCTGATGAGCCTAAAAAATGGCTCCTTGAAGGTCCCGACCTTATATTCCTTATATTATAATCATTTATATTTGAAACTCGTATACTGATTTTTATAGGTACAATTTTATTGAAATCTTTGCATATTTTCTTCATTCCCAATTTTTTTTTTTTTGTATATTTAGCAAAAAAAAAAAAAATTTCGCATATTGAGTGAAATCTTACCTTGTATGAGCCGAGATTTTTAACAGAACAGGCTAATTTAATATTTCTACCGGCAGGTACTGTGATATTATCGATGACATCCGTGAATTCGGGATCTTCGGTTTCGACTGTAATGAAAAGGAGAGAAAAAACAAAAATACATGAAACGGTTGGTATCTTCGATTTCCAGAATTTAGATATTTTTCAGAATTAATTTTCTCCAACTTCAAAAATATATTTAAATTATTTAAAAAAAAATTCAAAATTCACAATATATACATTGAGTGATGGAAAAACTGCAACACAGTCCTACGCCATATTTTCTACATTTGTTTTAATTTTATTGAATGAAAGCCAAAAATGCCGGAAATAGCATCACATTTTAGAATAAGTTTAGATTTGTTCGAATTGGTAACTTTTGGCACGAATTATGGCCTTCAAACGGTCAATAAAACCGTCAAACGCTGCCTGAATGTTGCTCTGCGGTATTTTGGCCCATTCCTGGCGAAGCGCTTGCTTGAGGTGATCGACACTTTCGTATTTTTTAGTGCCAACCTTGCTTTCAAAAAAATACTCCAGACTCAATAGTCCAACGAATTGGTATCCGGAGATTTTCGTGACCATTGTGCTCTGGAACTGAAGCGAGGATCGTCATTTTGAAATCATTCTTGGGTGGCGCGGACTGAGTGCGATGCTGCTGAGTCCTGTTGGAATGTCCAAGGTCTACGGCTAAAATGCAAATTCGGCAGTTCACCACTTTCGGCCACTGCGATGCGGGTTTCGATCAAGTCGCTTCTTTACTTTTCGAACCATTTCTGCTGATTTGCTGTTTTCTTCCATCCACTTTCACTTCCTTGACGTCGGGCTACCCTTCCAGCATCACGATAACGAGCGATGCTACGAGACTCAAAAAAAATTTATTCACATTTAAATGCTGGAGTGCTGTTACGATAGCCACTTGTGGTTTTCCAACCAAATTTAAAAAAAAATCACACTTGAATCCTCTATCACGAATAACTTTTTTCTAGAAAATTCTCACCAAAAAGCTTTTGTACGGCTATAAACAATATAATGAGCTGTTACTGGAATAATTTTAATAGCTATCGGACAAGTGGCTTAGAAATGACAGCAGTCTTTTAATTCAACCATGAATTATAAAATTTTTATGGATCCGACATGGGTAGGAAAAAAAATATTTTTTTTAAATCAACGACGGTATGGAAAGACCTTAAAAATATTTTAATATTTTTATTTATTATTATAATTTTTTTTTTTGAAAATTCGTTTTAGGCATTGTAAAAATAAACACCGAAAAATTAAAAAAATATATATATTTAAAAATCCACAACATAGATAGGCCTCGATAAAATTAGGAAAAACCACGATAACAAAATTTTTAAAAATTTTTTTTTAGCACTTTTTTAATACATATTTTTCCAAAATTCCAATTTGTTTAAAAAAATCGTCTTGATTTAATTTTTTTGTGAAAAATCTTTTTATTCGCATTTCAAAAATCCAATCCCTATTCCGACATTTTTACCTATTTTTTTTAATATTCGTTTTATTTAAAATATTTTTTATTTTTATTATTATTATTATTTATTTATTATTATTATTATTATTTATTTTTTTTTATTTTATTTTTTTTTTTTGAAAAAAAATCGTCTTAATTTAATTTTTTTTTTGTGAAAAATGCCTTTACCCGTATATCAAAAATCCTATACTATTCAGACATTTTTCTCCCACATTTTATTTTATTTTATTTCATTTATTTCTTAATTTTATTATTATATATTTTTTTATTTTAGATATTCATTTATTTATTATTTTTTTTAAAAATCCCCCAGACATATTTCTCCCACATTTTTTTTTTTTTGAATATTTGTTTTAATTAATATATTTTTTAATATTATTCATTTATTTCTTTATTTTATTTTTATTTAATTTTTTATTTTTATTATTATTATTATTATTATTATTATTATTATTATTATTATTATTATTATTATTATTATTATTATTATTATTATTATTATTATTATTATTATTATTATTATTATTATTATTATATATCAAAAATCCTATCCCTATTCAGACATTTTTCTCCCACATTTTATTTATTTATTTTTTTTTAATATTCGTCTTATTTAAAATATTTTTTAATATTATTTATTTATTTATTTATTTTTTTATTTTTTATTTTCTTTTTTATTTTTTATTTTTATTTTCTTTTTCATTTTTTATTTTAATTATTTATTTGTTTGTTTATTTATTTATTTATTTATTTTTTTTTTTTTTTTTTTGAAAAATCCCCCCAGTCATTTTCCTCCCATTTTTTTTTTTTTTTTTTTTTTTTTTTTTTGAAAATTCGTCTCATTAAAAATATTTTTTAATATAATTTATTTATTTCTTTATTTTAGTTTTTATTTTTATTTAATTTTTTTTATTTTTATTATTTTTAGTATTATTAATATTATTTTTTTTTTTTTGGATAAAAAAACGTCTTAATTTGATTTTTGTTGTGAAAAATCCTTTTACCCATATATCAAAAATACTATCCCTATTCAAAAATTTTCTGCCACATTTTTTTTTTTTTTTTTTTTTGAATATTCGTCTTATTTAAAATATTTTTTTAATATTATTCATTTCTTTATTTATTTCATCATTTATTTCTTTATTTTATTTTTTAGTTTTATTTAATTTTTTATTTATTTATTTTGTTTTTTAATATTCGTCTTATTTAAAATATTTTTTAATATTATTCATTTATTTCATTATTTTATTTTTTAGTTTTATTTAATTTTTTTTTATTAATTATTTTTTTTTTTTTTTGAAAAATCCCAGACATTTTTTCCCACATTTTTTTTTTTTTTTTTTTTTTTTTTTTTTTTTGAATATTCGTCTCAATTAAAATATTTTTTAATATTATTCTTTGATTCCTTTATTTTATTTTTTAGTGTTATTTAATTTTTTATTTTATTTTATTTATTTTTTTTTTTTTGAAAAATCCCCCCAGACCTTTTTCTCCCACATTTTTTGTGAATATTCGTCTCAATTAAAATATTTTTTAATATTATTCATTTATTTCTTAATTTTATTTTTTTATTTTTATTTAATTTTTAATTTTTTTTTATTATTATTATTATTATTTGTTTTGCAAAATCCCATTTCTAATATTTCAAAAATCCCTTTATTTAAATTCTCTCCTTCCTATCTATATTCAGACATTTTTCTCCCCCCTTATCGAGAGGCTTCTTTGTATACCATCCAGGATAATAACAATTAATTGTTATTATTCCAAACACCTTGGCCACAAATACTTCCGGTCGTTCTTCCTTAGGAAAACACTCACACATACACGCACCCACACAACTACCCCGTTCGAGTTGCCCACCACGAACAACCACACTTCATTCAAAATAATTATCCTTCAATTTGGTTGCGGCTGTTATCCTTGTTGTAGCGAATATTGAATGTAATTATGCAGAAAGGAAGGCTTGAGTGATCCGGTGGGTAATTTGAGGTTAGGGATATTCTGCAAGGACAATGGGTGGATGATGTGAAATTACCAAAATGACAATCAAGATAATTATCGAGGGGGCAATATTTTCAAAGGAACCTTGAGTGTTAGACTTGACTCTCAAAATTCCTGCCAAAAAAAATTTGAGGCGTGAATTTTTTAAAGAATATTTTTTCAAGGATTAACTGAGGCGTGGATTTTTTAAAGAATATTTTTTAAGGATTAATTGAGAAGTGGATTTTTTAAAGAATATTTTTTTAAGGATTAATTAAGGCGTGGATTTTTTAAAGAATATTTTTTCAAGGATTAATTGAGGCGTGGATTTTTTAAAGAATATTTTTTCAAGGATTAATTGAGGCGTGGATTTTTTAAAGAATATTTTTTCAAGGACTAATTGAGGCGTGGATTTTTTAAAGAATATTTTTTCAAGGATCAACTAAAACGTGGATTTTTTAAAGAATATTTTTTCAAGGATCAACTAAAACGTGGATTTTTTAAAGAATATTTTTTCAAGGATCAACTAAAACGTGGATTTTTTAAAGAATATTTTTTCAAGGATCAACAGAAACTAGGATTTTTTAAAGAATATTTTTTTAAGAATCAATGGAAACGTGGATTTTTTAAAGAATATTTTTTCAAGGATAAATTGAGGCGTGGATTTTTTAAAGATAATTTTTTCAAGGATCAATGGAAACGTGGATTTTTTAAAGAATATTTTTCAAGGATCAACAGAAACTAGGAGTTTTTAAAGAATATTTTTTCAAGAATCAATGGAAACGTGGATTTTTTAAAAAATATTTTTTCAAGGATTAATTGAGGCGTGGATTTTTTAAAAAATATTTTTTCAAGGATTAATTGAGGCGTGGATTTTTTAAAAAATATTTTTTCAAGGATTAATTGAGGCGTGGATTTTTTAAAAAATATTTTTTCAAGGATTAATTGAGGCGTGGATTCTTTAAAAAATATTTTTTCAAGGATTAATTGAGGCGTGGATTCTTTAAAAAATATTTTTTCAAGGATTAATTGAGGCGTGGATTTTTTAAAAAATATTTTTTCAAGGATTAATTGAGGCGTGGATTTTTTAAAAAATATTTTTTCAAGGACTAATTGAGGCGTGGATTTTTTAAAAAATATTTTTTCAAGGATTAATTGAGGCGTGGATTTTTTAAAAAATATTTTTTCAAGGATTAATTGAGGCGTGGATTTTTTAAAAAATATTTTTTCAAGGATTAATTGAGGCGTGGATTTTTTAAAAAATATTTTTTCAAGGATTAATTGAGGCGTGGATTTTTTAAAGAATATTTTTTCAAGCATTAATTGAGGCGTGGATTTTTTAAAAAATATTTTTTCAAGGATTAATTGAGGCGTGGATTTTTTAAAAAATATTTTTTCAAGGATTAATTGAGGCGTGGATTTTTTAAAAAATATTTTTTCAAGGATTAATTGAGGCGTGGATTTTTTAAAAAATATTTTTTCAAGGATTAATTGAGGCGTGGATTTTTTAAAAAATATTTTTTCAAGGATTAATTGAGGCGTGGATTTTTTAAAGAATATTTTTTCAAGCATTAATTGAGGCGTGGATTTTTTAAAAAATATTTTTTCAAGGAT